CAACTACAATACAATAAAATACAGTACTAAAGAAGAATGTATGTATGTATGTATGTATTCATTAACATAAGCACAAGGCGAATATATGTGTGAGGGACACAAAACAGAAGTGAACATTTTCATTTTAATGGTATCATTTTTGGCCGTGAACATGCTTCAAGAGAAGAAGCGACAAGTAAAGGTATTCAAGCGATGATACTTGAATACTCTAGTAAGTCACATGTGTATGAATTTGACAGAGTCCTTTAAATTCATACCTGGAGACAGTACTTGACAAAACAAGACTGTGTGGTAAAGACTAAGAAAAAACTATATATATACTGACCTAGGAAAAATTTTCCCATTTCAACCCAATTTAAGATAAAATCACACACACAAACAAAAAGATAAAATCACAAACCCCACATAAAGACATGCATACAAAACCAAGGGACAACGAAATCTCCTTTAACAACTAAAAGGTGTGTGTATATTTAGAATGCTTCAGCTAATCATTTAAAACAACGGTTCTCAACGTCAGTGGAGAGCCCTTTGGGGGTCGAACCACCCTTTCATAGGGGTTGCCCAAATCTTAACAGTAGCAAAATTACAGTTATAAAATATCAACGAAAATAATTTTATGGTTGGAGGAGGAGGGGATCACCACAACATGAGGAACTGTATTAAAGGGTCGAGGCATTAGGAATGTTGAGAACCACTGACTTAAAGCAAATTAAATCTTTATTTCTAGAACTTCTATTTGCAAAACTAAGTTGGTTCAGAGAAACTCTGGTGTGAATTAAATGGTGGTATTTAAAGCAAAAATATGGTCTATGCAAAAAAAAAAAAAAAAGCCCCAGTGATGCCCACTGGTCTTAGGCTGAGTGGGCTGGCCCAGCCAGTTGTATCTAACAGTTGTGCTCGAAACAACAAATGGTGCATTCATCAACTGCAAAAGCAGGGCTGTTCAGAGGCTCTAAAGTCTGCAAGTGAAACGATGGGCGGCTGACTTTCCTGCTGTTCCACAGAAGAGGAGTGAAAAGAGACCAGGACCCAGTTAAAAGCACAGGCTGCGACTGCAGCTGTGGCAAAATGGTGAGCAAGAGCTAGATAAAGAGGCCCTGACTGAGTACCACTTACCCTCTTCTAACAAGAGCTGGGCCTAATGAGAATTCAGTAAATACCTCTAAGACAGCAGTTCTCCACTTGCTGGTCACGACCCCTTTGGGGTGGAACCACCCTCTCACAGGGGTTGCCCGATTCATAAGAGTAGCAAAATTACAGTTATGAAGTAGCAACGAAAATAATTTTATGGCTGTGGGATGGGAGGGGGTCATCACATAAGGAACTGCATTAAAGGGTCGCAGCATTAGGAAGGTTGAGAACCACTGACCTAAGAGTAGTGCAAGAGTCCTCTTGAAGGAAAACGCCCAATCAGAAATTAGAATCTAACATCTTCCCTGGCTTCTTTTTTAATGTCCAAAAATACTCGAAATTCCCAAATCTACTGTTGCCGTCCACAGGCTTAATGTTCATAGCCTTACTGCTGGAACACTGTCTCTCCATGCTGGTAACAAAAGAAACATCTGGTACCAGCTAATCAGCATCCCTGCTAATTCTGTCAGAGCTCCAACTTCTTAAAAATTTAATTAGTGGCATTTACACCTGCCAGTGCAGACAGCCTGTCAGGCTTACAGCATAGGTACCACAATCCTTGGTTTCACAGGGAACTCCAGTTTGCAACAAGCAAGCACCAGATGGGGGGGTCTCTAGGTTTATGTGCCATCTCCTCACGTCCTGCACTTGTGCTTGCTTAGTCCTCTGCACAGGTATAGCTGGCTTCTGTCTCAACCCAGCAGCAACACCTTCCTACAACATCAAAGCCTCTTTTCAAATGGACAATCCCTGACTGGGATGAGCGCCTCATTAGTAAATTAAAGAGGGGGTTGCTTGGCCTTATTTACTAGTCTGCAGTGAACAAGCGCACGTGGATTTTATAACATCTTTGCTTATCGAGTCTGAAGTTTAAACCCACCACCAACAGTTCCATGAGCATGGAAAAGACTAGGCAACCTGCGTCTAAGTAGATTACAGTCCTACATTTCTACGCTGTCCTATAGGGTCACTATGCATCAGAATCAACTGACAGTAGGCAACAGTTCTTGTAGCAATATTGTTTAAAAATTCCCAGTGGCTGGGGGGGGGGGGGGGGGGGAGAAGAGCTGATACCAAGGGCTCAAGTAGAACAGGTGTTTGAGAATGATGATGGCAACATATGTACGAATGTGCTGGACACAATTGATGTATGTATGGTGATAAGAGTTGTATGAGCCCCTAATAAAATGATTTTTTAAAAATTCCCAGTGGTTCAAATGTATTCAATTGTCTTGGCAGAAGTTCCAAGTACAAACCTAAAGTAACCTGTTTATAACATATAGTTTTGGAATCTTGATTCGAAGTATTCCATAGAGTCACCTGGGAATCTTTTTCAAAATGGACATGCCCTCGCCTTAAGCCAGCCCTACTGAATCACACTCTCCTTGGGTGGGGCCCTGACTCCGAGTATTAATGGAAAAGTTTTCCCTGGTTAAAAACCACCACTTTACATGCTATAGCCCAGTGGAAAGTGGTACAAAAGCTGCAAATCAAAACTAAGGCAAGCGACTGTGCAGCACAAGCCCATGGAATTGTTCTGTTTATATCCTGTTCACAAGGCAGCATGTTAACAGTCACATGGCAGCAGACAGGAGAAGCTAGGGCCATGTGCTGCAGCCAAAGGTGCCCGTCTAGCTTGCAGACTGGGCCTGCCCAGGTCAGCCAAGACCACAGGACGGTTCTCAGGGGAAGATAAAGCACACTCCTCAAGGCGCCAGTCTTTAGCCACCAGTCATGAGGGCCATGGTTGCCCAACTTCTTGTACTCACTGATGATGTACGTACAGTACAGAACATCAAGAAATGGCACCCCAGCTAATGGGCTCTACCCCAGTGTAGTGGCACAGACTGTTGAGACAGGTCACAAAACTGGAAGCTGGCAAGGGCACAGGAGGGGGGAGGAGCAGTGCAGCAGGACAGAGACACAAGTTTGGGGCTCCCCTGTGGCTGGGCAATGAGTAAGATTTAACACCGAAGTAGGTTAAAAATACTGTTTTGCCCCCTCTGGCTTCATTCTCAGAAGATGTCATTTTAGAAAAGAGAAACTGTTTGGTTTCAGAAGAGGCCAGAAAGCGAGCGGTGGCAGCAGCTGTCTGGCTTCCAGTTTAGCAGACCTGCTGCTGCTGACATGTTCCCGGTCTAATTACACAGAAGCTGCTCCCTTGACTTTCAGCTACACCAATTCCTCGTCCGTGTGCCGGCCCCCACCCCCCAAGTTAAGGGCTCTAAGCTTGGTCTCCCTCCTCCCTG